CGTGCTAGTTTTACTTTTATTTATGGCGTAAAAGGGACCGCAGAAAAGAACCGCAAATAATATAAAAAGGACGCCACCATAGGAAAAGCCATACGCGTCTCGTTGTCGATTAAGCAATAATACATAAAGTTTTTTTTTTTTAAATATTCTCGATACGGTCTAGATGAGACGGAAAGTTGTCTATGATTAGTATTTGAACGTCTCATACTTACTCTTTGATCCGCATAAATTTAATCATACTCCTTTTAAAACCACGAGTTCGGAAAATCTTTTTTAGACAAATATATCTCTTTATAGTTTGAACTATCTTATCTATAATCAAATTCTAATTTTCAATGGCCAATATTACCCTTCACTATTTTGAATATTTTATTTATATCTTAATCTATCCTAATCATAATCATATCTTATCCTAATCCTATGTGAACCATGTTTAGCTTAACAATTTAAAAATTCTAATATTAATAAAATATATAAAACATAAAAATGATATTAGTTTGTTAAGATAAAGAAATTACAAGTAGATAACATATTATAATACATGAAGTATTGCAAAAAAACATAAAAAGTTTTAAAATTGTAGAAAAGACCCTGAAAAGTTCAAAATTATAAAACTCATCCAAATGTCTCAAAACTTAAAATAAAAAACATGAAATTAAAAAATTAACATCAGTTTGCAAAAAATTTAAATTTTACAGTTAACACCTCAATGTCTCAAAAACAAAAGTTTAAATTACAGACAAGCACATTAAAATTCTAAAATTTTAAAACTTACAAACAACACAGATGAATTCAAGAGATTACCATGATACACCTAAAATTTTTGACATTTAAATTTAAATTTTTTAATTAACATCCTCAATATCTCAAAAATTATAGAAACACATTCAAAAGTTTAAATTATAAAATGCTACCCTAAAATTCTAAAATTTGTAAATAAAATAAGATGAATTCAAGATATTACCCTTAGACACCTAAAAAATTAAAATTTGCCAAAATTAACCTCAAAATTTTTAAAAAACTCCTTCAAAATTTAAAAATCGTAAAAAAAAACTCTAAAAAATCGTAAAAAAACTCTAAATTTTCAAAATTTTTAACTAGCGCATATCAAATTCGTCGATTGGTAGACCGCTAAAATTTAATATTTTTCAAAATTAATCTATAATTTTAATAATTATAAAAGACACCCTCAAAATTTTAGAGTTACAAGAAATATACTAACATTTAAAAAATTACCACCAACACATGAAACATAGAATTTACAACTACCAAACTTAAAAGTAAAATTTTTAAAAAACTCTTTCAAAATTTTAAAAATTATAAATCACATCCTCAAAGTTCAAAACCATAAAAATGGGCTAAAATTTTAAAACTTGGCAAAGAAAAGTGTAATTGTTTGGTATTTTTCAATATATATATATATATATATATATATTAAAATTTCTAATTTAGGGATTTACTATCCATTTTCAGCATCTAAGAATAGTCTAAGTTGATACTGGTAAACAAAAACAATAAGAATTGATTAAAAACATCCGGTTAATGGATAAAATTTTTAAAAATATTATAGATTAAAAATTATCGGCACTATATAAATTAAAGTAATTTCATATAATTTTAGTAATAAGTTGGGGTAGCCAAAATACATTCGTAACATTAATTGATAGATGTTTAAATCCATAGAAATGATAAAACACTATAATATTATACCTTAGCATTAATTGATTTTAATTTAGAAACTTTAATCTTTGACGTTAATAATATTTATAGGGTAAAAGAATACAAGGAATTACATATGGAGAAACTATTAGAATATTTAGAGATAACTTTAAAAGAATTGAGTTATTTCCATTGCAAATGGGAAAGTGATGGAAATAAATCTAAAATTCAGAAAACGTCAATGAATCACTTGAATTGGCATTAACATAAGACATATCTATTAATGAAGCACTGAATGAGTTACATTAAAAAATAATTTAATAACTTTATCCTAATCAAAGAAAAAATCTCCATGGAAGACATAAGAAAAATTAGTAAGTATTCATAAATTCCATACTGTGTTCTTCAAATTAAATATTAATATTATAATCTAAGAGAAATTGGTAATGAATAATGCAGGTATTTAGTTTAGATCTTTATGGAAAATGACAGGGATAGAGCAAAGGTAATATTATTGAAATAACAGAAATTCTTATTGGATGCACATCAGAAGAATTTATTTTAGAGGAAAATAAAGAGATAACTTCTAATTTATTTAAGTAATAAATTAGGAACACAAAGAATTTTATATATATGAAATTATATTTATTCTCATTGAAATAGAAAAAAAATCAAAGTCTATATTTTGAGCAGTTTGTGTTGAACATCATAAGTACATTTGACTTCTTTGTAAAGTTAAATGAGATGATAAAAAATTAACGAGCCTAGGAAAGATAATAGCATAAAAAATACAAAATTAGCATGATGTCACAATTGATGTTGATGATGAAGACAATACTCTAGAATTGTCCGAGAAATGATAAATGATAAACATGAAGAAGGATTGATCTTAACTCAACAAAAAATAAAATAGAAGAAATAAAAACAATATTTTATGAATATTTTATAGAATAGTTTAATTATTTTGAGTGAAATTAGGAATCTTTAGAAGGGAGTTTCATGAATTTTTTTCTGTACTTTTATATTCTTATGTGGATGTTTTTATCATATAAAAGTATACTAGAGTTAGTATTAATCTTTAATTTATATTTTTTTATGAAGTCTATCAATGATTAGGAATAAACTTCATATTCTCTTTTGTATCGTTTTAACATACTTTAAATCAATCATTTTGTCATATTGGTTTTAAATATTCACCTTCCTTGTATAATACTATTTTAATATTTTTCACTTTGCAATGCTATACTTTCTCAAATAAAGCTTAGTTTCATATCGGTAAAAAATAATATGAAAATTCAAATTATTTTTAAATTATATTTGTTTTTTGTCAATTCAAATATCAACATGAAAATTTAAATTGGGTGTATCCTATTTAAACAAACATAAAAAAATAATCGGGATGTAAGAGTTTAAAGAAAAAAATGAGCACAAACTGCCAAAAATACTCATGGTATTAAATCGCGTGCATTGCACGTGTGTAAAAACTAGTTTCCTAAAATACATGAGTTTATGCGTTAGGGGATGCACCTTAGCCATGCCTAGAGGTTTGATACACACGGTCCAAAGGAAGTTTCCTTGCCAAAAATAAAAAATGGTTTGGTCAGTGAAGAAATACAGTAAACAGCAAAGGATCAGCCAGAAAGTCTGACGGTCGACCGCCGTGGTCGATCGTCGATGTTTTCTGGGCTGGGCTTTGGTTTTTTAACCCGATTCGTTTTCTAAGTTATATATATCCCTAAACCTGATTTGTTAGGGTGAACTCAAGGACGATTTTGAGCAGCCTTGAAGAGAGAATTGTTGCATCCAATTGTGAGAGAGTTGTGAGAGATCAAGAGCTTTGTTTTAGGGTTTGATCTGAGAGATTTGTAATTCTACTTGTATTCTCTGATTTCTAATAGTAAGAACTTCCCCCTCCTTCCCCCGTGGACGTAGGCAACTTGTCGAACCACATAAATCTCTTGTGTTATTTGGTGATTGTGCTTATTTATTTGGTTGTGATCTCTCTTGTTCGGATTGTGTGATTTGACCGCTTCCGCGCCGCGCACAACAATTGGTATCAGAGCTTCGGGTTCGACTTGAGGCTTGTTTGAAGGATTCGCTGAAGGATTCCTATCTGAAGAGTTAGATCGTCAACATGGGTGAAGCAAGCACATCGGGATCATCTCTTACGAAGACGATACATAGTTTGAGCATCAATAACATGAAGATCGATGTTCCGAAGTTTGATGGTAAGATCAATTTCGGTTTGTGGAGGTGCCAGGTGATGGATGCGTTGGACGCTCAGAATTTGGAGGAGACTCTTGAGTTACAAGAGAAACCTGTCGAGATGGAATCTAAGGTTTGGAAGAAGATGAATAGTAGGGCGTGTGGAGTTATTCGGTCATGCTTGACGCCGGATCTTACTTATTATGTGATGAACGAGACGTCGGCGAAGAATATGTGGGAAACACTCAATGAAAAGTATCTTACTAAGAGCATTGAGAATCGGCTTCACTTGAAGAAGAGGTTTTACCAGTTCAAGATGAAGAAGGGAGTTTCCATTAGGGAGCATGTTAACAACTTCACAAAGCTATTTTCAGACATGGCTAATGTGGATATCATGGTTGAGGATGAAGACAAGGCGATGCTACTTTTGTGTTCGTTGCCCGATGATGATTATGGTACTTTTATCCTAACTATGATTAATGGAAGAACTACTGTTAGCTATAAGAAGGTGAGCTCAGTGTTGGTGAATTATGAGTTGAGGAAGAGTGTTAATGAGTCATCCGAGAAGGCATCGGGAGATGCATTAGTAGTTCATGGCCATGGTTCAAACCGAAGCAGGAGGTCGTAGTCTAGAGGTGCACATCGTGGGATTCGT